AATATTACTGAGTTTTAATTTAGATAACGAGTATTATAGTAGAGTAATATGTCAATTCATCATTCAGTTTATATGAATACATAAATATTGAGTGTGTAATGGTTTCCATTGTCATTGTCGCATGCCTAATCCTTGTTAATGTATATTTACTTAGAACGAGGTTAATTTAAAAGAGCAACACAAAGTTTTTTGCTCTTTCTTCTTGTGATAAGTCTGTGTTCCGGAGTAGTGGTGGAATTAAAAAATGAGACCTTTTTTTTTCCACCTCTACTCCGGAACACAGACTTAAAAGTGTTGATATGTATTAATTTATTTCAATAAAGATTATATCCATTCTATTCATCTGTGATCCTAAATAGTAAACAATAAAATTTGTTTTTCAAGTAACTAATAACAGCTAATCAGTTTTGACCACACGAGTTTTAAAAGTCCTATGGTTTAACTACTACATAAGTAGATACAAATAAACGCATTGGTTGACTAATTTTTATTTTTAGTTTTATTAGTCAGGACACCTGCTTGCTTCGAGGTGTCTAGTGGAATATCGAACAGGTGTGTCTTTTTAGCATAATTAACATTAGGTATACTTTAGCTACACTAACTGTACAGTTGGCTTCAAATATTAAGCGACGCATAAGTTACATGTCAGTTTCAACGTTTTAATTTCAAAACTAATGAATTTACTTTTACGCCCCAAATTTAATCGATTTATTAAAAAAAGGATTCATTCTGCCGGCTTATTTAAAATAGAAATGTGTCTCTTTGAATGGTTAACACATAAGGGTTATTAATATTCTGACAGCGTACTTTATTCAATTTGTGTGTCCTATGATAATTTTATGCCATCGATTTATTTGAAGCTGACTGTACCACTGTCTGGAGGAGGACGTAATTTCAGAAAGGTGCAAAACTACGTAACTAATTAGCAATAAATATTATCACATGTGATCTAACTATCACTGTTTTGCACGAATTGTGTGGTTTCATCCATACTTTTATAAACGCGAAATTATGTGAAGATGAATGTTTGTTATTCTTTTACGAAAAAACTACTGGACGGATTCGAATAAAATTTGGTACACAGATAGATCTTATTCTATATTAATACACAGGACTTTTCAACTATATTATTGCGGACAGGACATTAAACACAACTAAATTTATGGATTCTTTTGTTTCATTTGCAAAGACCATAATAACAACTTATTGTTTTTATAGGTAATTCTAAGTGACCACACCTCGCCTAATGATAAACGGGCATTGTGCATCAAATATGAGAAAAGATAATATTAGATAATAGAACTGTAAACAGTCAACACCCTTCAGAAGAATATGTATGAGAAAATCACACCCTCGAAAGGGTATTAAAACAAACACACATCTGTCGACAAGTAAATAAAGAATTTGGGTCTGTACTATTATGAATGATGATCTAACAAAGTTATGATAGCATGACAGCAAGATACATTATAGAGGGGTTCTGTACTAATTATTCGTCTCACAAACAAACATATCCAAAAAAATATGAATTATACAGTTCACTAGTAGTTATTCGTGTAACAGTAATACCACCATCAATATCTATGCGTAACATACTACGCTTGTTATGGGATAGGCAGAGAGTACTTGATCAGGTACATAAACGTACTATAAACCATGAATACAACAAACTAAAAGAAAATACCTGCGCGTAAATAATTTTCCCACGTCCTTGCTTCGTGAAAATTTCAGGTAACCCTTTTTTTCAGTGGCTGCACTATATTATACACATAATGTTTTCCCATTATCTTGTCTGCTATTAGAGAATAGAATAGAAAATTATTTATTCAAATAAACTTATATTTAAGCACTTTTGAATAGAGATAAATATAACCTATGTCCTTGATTACGTTACACGTTAAATTCCATTATATTCATTTGCTGTTATTCGTAAAAAGGTACCAACAGACAGATCAAATTATCATTTTTAATATCAGTAATTCACTTATCGCCATCTAGTCCCACGCTAAATTATGGTATGACAACTAATATTCACACACCTAGACACATTTTCTTGTACGTAAATACATACATATTATACATAGAAAACACCCAGACCGATACAAACTATTATACTCATGAATACAAATGTTTTTACCGTGCGAGGAATCGAAGCTGCGACCATCGGATGTAAGGCAGTGTGCTAAACCGCTAAACCATCGTACCCGTTATAAGCATTACTGTCATGGTACAATAAGTGTTAGCCTCCCCGAATAATCTCTACAACTGCTATCCATTCTGCGGTGCTCGCATACAACGCCTTCCAGCGATCTTGACCAGACAGTCGGTCCACCTTGCTGGAGGCCCGTTCATAGATATACAGTAGGATAAAAGATATTTTGAAGATTAATGCATATGTTTAAGATTAGATAAACCATGACAAAAATATGTCAATATTATTATGATAAACACTTAACCCCAAAATGATATTACATATTGCAGTAGCAATTGATACGATAAAAGAATGAACGGAAACTTGATAAACTGATAGTGTTGACACGTCATGCTATCATATAAGGTGTCATCCTAGACATCTGTGATAATTTAGTACAGAGATACGGATAGTCATCTACAACAACCTCAACTATTTCTATTGTCTATAAACTTCTTTCACAGGTCTAATACTAGATTGTAGAATAACACGGTGGTCTAGCGGTTTAGCACACCGCTTTACTTCCGATGGTCGCGGTTTTGATTCCTCGCTTGGAGCAAACATTTGTATTCATGAGTATAATTATTTGTATCGGTATTTGTGTTTTCTAATATTAAGTACGTCTGTATTTACAAAAAAAATATCTACTTAAGTATTTATATCAGTTGTCTAGTACCCATAACAAAAGCTCTGCTTATCATGGACTAGATGGCGCTGTGTTAATAGTCCAGTGTTCTTTATTATTTATTAACATGTACCAATAATATTACCAGGTATGCTGACATGATACCTTATAATTTTGTAGTTCCTAGGAATGGGAATGGATATTTTACGTGGGTAGTATTATGTTACAACCATGTTACAGTTGCTGTAACACATTTTGTATAGTAAAGAACCATGTCTTGATTAAAAAAAATCATATAACAAAAACATAGAATAAACATTTTATATGTTAGCAGGATAATATACACTGAATTTATTTATTTATTTATTATGTCTTCAGTATTCATAGTGTTTTTAAAATTAGTATTAGTAATTATAAAACTAAATATATGAAATAATTTAAATTTTTATTAATAAATATCTAATCAAAAATATTGTATTTGGGTATAGATAATATTAGATAATATTTGAAATTTTGAATCCAAATTTGCATTCAAACATCCATGGACAAATTTGATGTCAAACAAATTATATTTTTTGTTACTATATGCTTGTAATAAAGAATAGTGTATATTATGTAAATTTACATATATTATATAGAAATGGTTTTATTGAATTACAAATAGAAAACATACAGAGAACCTAGTATAAGTTTTCTGTATTTAGCCAACTAACTAAAGAGATGCTCGAATATAGTCATGAATCATATAAGTAATAATGTTGCATAAAAGTTGCATTGTATGATTTAATGAAAAACAACCACATTATAAGTTGCATAAGTTTGTGATGTAAACTTGAAAGAATATATTTTCTTTTGTTAATTAAACTATGTAACTTTATTAAGGATAACATGTGAGTCATTAACACTGATATTTTTCTGTTAATTAATTTTGGCAACATATTAAACAGATATTTTGCAATAGGAGTAACATTCAGTACGACTTGGTTTTGAAACAATCTTAAGTGATTATGTTTTATAGTAATGAGGTTGCGAAATTGGATTTATTTTTTGTTGAATGTTAATTTTTATTCATTTTGAATTTTTTTAACATTATGTCTTCAGAAAGTAGGGAATTGTTTCTGTATAATCTGATGTGTGTAAATTCCATTCCTGACCTTGTAATACCCATAAAGAAATTTTTATAAAAACTAAAAAAATAGAGTGTGTTGCTTTGATATAAATACACAACAAAAAACATATTATCCAGTTAATCTTTGTTATTTATAGTTAACATTTCCATGTATATATTTACAAAAACAATGTATTTAAGTATCTGGATCAATAGTCCAGTACCTATATCACAAGCTCTACTTAGCTTGGGGCTAGATAGTACTATGTGTATTGTACAGAATTATTATTATACTTAATTAACATTTAAAGAGAAAATTAATATATTTATACGTCAAATTAATGATGTAATTATGAATAACATTGAAAAGACTTACAAAACTACAGGATTTAATTTAGCTTAATCAATTAATAAATACCCATAAAATGTATGCCCACATTGTATGAGTACTTATAATCCACCTCCTTTTTAAAATTGTAGAAGTTAATCTTCTATTTTTTTGAAGTACCTACCTAGTTATTAAATAAACAATAATTGATACTCTGAATAATTATTACATCCACATAACAATACTAATATTAAGGGATGATGTTAGAATACCATTCCCATCTATTGTTTTGACTTGCTGTTTGATCCATGTTTGATTTTTTTTCAATTCATTAAAAAGACCGTTAATATTTTTTTCATTATGAATTATTTCTGTATCAAATTAGATGAATAATGAATAGATTACATTTAGAAAGCGTTGAAGGCATTTCCAGATGATATTTAGCTGAATAATTGCACTGTTTATGTTTACGAAAATAAGATAAACATTAAAAAAATATTGGTTTAACTTGAAATTATGTGTGTACATGACAATTATTAAATAATAAGGCAGTAAACAGCGGTAATTAGATGTGTGGGAAATACGAACAACGGTAATTCATTATTTATAGGATCGTTTTGCTAGATATTGAGGCTAGACAACTAAAAACATTCATTTTATCAATTAAAAATAATTTAAACAAGTATTATTTTGTACAAAAAGAGCCCTTTGAAGACTAAAAGGGGGTAAATATCGATCATACACTCACCACAACATGATAAGCCGGCGAACTTGAAGTAATCGCGGCGATCTTAGCTTCAAGACACGATTCAACACAAAAACGGTCACTAAAAATCACAAACAAACACTTCACTGCATTTACCGGCTTCTAAGCTTAATATTTCATACAATATTCAGTCACAATTGAAGTAAATATAACACAACACAGCAGTTTCACGACAAATCCAGTTGGTAAAGTGACATTACATTCACAGTATTTTGCTTGGAACACGACAACAGACTGACAACATCGCGACAGAACAGTGGCTGGTTCATATCGACTTCAACATTGCTTTTATTATAAACCAACTAAATTTAGTACCACGTTTCATTGTAAAGTCTTCCGCTTATTAAATGAACATTCTCATGAGCCGGGTTATATTAGCGCCATCTATTAGCATTGTTCAAAGCATATAGTTGCAGTTAGCGACATCTATTAGAAAATTAGGAAATGATTTGGAAGTTTTGTAGCACATGATGCATTCTGCCGCCCGTTTATTAGTTCCTACTGTTTCCACGTTGCTTATTTATGATTTGTCCGTTCAATACAGATGGCGTTAATTATTTTATCTAAAATCCATCCGTTTTTCGTCAAACGTAATTATACTCTTTTTATTTCGTGTTACCAATAACGAGGCAAGATTGCAATAGTTTATAGTTTTATTTAATGACAATAATTTAGTCAATAATCTATTCAATATTAATAATTAATTAGTTAGAATTAATAATGTAATAACTAGATACGGTGGTAATAGCAAATAACCGTATATGGATAAGGAAATTGTTAATAATGGTTAATAGTGGTTCTATTAATATCAACGTAGCATGCCAGGTCGACCTTTGCGCGGTTTTCCCTGAAAATTATGTGAAGTCGACAACATAGGCTGCTAATCTGATTTCAGACCCCTATAATCCTTCAATGGAGCCCTGCCAGCGCAGCGTATACCGTTAGCTCCGCTGGTAGGGGGTCAAAAATAGATGTCGTTATGTGAAATATGTACATATTATTTAGCGTTGCCCATCTAATTAAAATGGAAGATTTATGAAACTAATTTTACCGATTATATTTATGTGCTGTAGGGAATATAGTAGTATATTTTATACACAAGTAGAAATATAAAGTTTCAACGCTATGCATCCTTGGGTATGTGCACTAATATTTGCTTTGATAATTCTAGATTCGTCAAAATTAACTGATACTCTACATAAACAACTTAAAAAAATCAGTTGAGTTTTTTGCCAGTTCTTCTCAATTGAATCTGTACTATACTATTATATTCTATACTATAATACAAATACCTGACGTCATAATCGGCTAAAATGTACTACCTACATGATTTTTATTTTGTTGGAGATGCTATTTTTTTTTAATAGTATACGGTATAATATAGGAATAGGAATATAATCATGTATTTTTATGGTATATATAGTCTGTAACTACATCCGCCAAAACATGACAAATTGACATCATAAAGTAGGTAGTCTAATAAATAATAGTAGGTAAGTAATATTTCCACATATTCGATTATAAAAACGTGTTTGTCCGTGACGGCGGATCAGAACTCCTATATCTACTAATTATCACGTCTCGGACGCCGATAGAGATATTTTTGTTTTTTCTGCTCACCCACTTAATAACATTCTTCACGCCGCGAACTAGGGTAGTATAGAGTCGAATTTATTCGTAATAATATGCTCAAGTTATTTGCTTAATTTTATTTATATACACAATAGCATGCCTTTATATTGAAAAACGATATATATTTGACATATTTGGTTTAAAATTATATTTAAGTATCAACTTTATTGAATTCATCTGTGTTCGAAATACAATTTTGTAAGTAAAGAAAAAAAACGGTGTAAAGAAGATTACTATAGTAATAAAATAGAGGTTGAATGGTCGTTTTTTTAGTATATAAATTATATTAGTAGTAATTTCATCACGTGGTAAAGGTTTCATTATTGAAGAATAAATTATCAGTGAGTATTCAGATAATAATATATTAATTTAAAATTCGAAAGAGCGATAGAATTAATACAATATCTATTTAAAAGTGTATTAAGTTTATCTAAATAAATATTATTTCTATTCTATTTACAGTCTTAATATTGATGATGGTAAATTACGAGTCTATAGTTTCTCTGTGCGTACACCCTAATGCCCTCGTCGCCAGCGGTCATCACGGGCGGAAGTCTACCAAAACCGTTCATTTGGAGTTTTCGAAACGACTCCCACTTTTTTTCTCACTCACCTCTTCTCGGAAAGTTTACGACGTAAAAAAAGCAACTCACAACTACAATCTCAAGTTCTCCCGATGTGAACGTTTCCTTTTTGAAATAGGTGAATTGGACGCGTGATTTACATATGGCTTTGTGGTTTAAATACACCGGACCATGAAATTCTACTAGATTGGTTGAAATGACTATTTTATACATTCCTTATTGCACTTTTAAATATATTAACAATGTTAATTTCCAACAACGTGAGCAAGGAAGGACTTATATCTTAAAGAGATCTCCTCCAATCAATATAAAATAGCGTGACATGTGAAGTGGTAAGTGGGTGAAAGTGTAGCAGAAGTGGTGTAGTAGATAATAATTGGAAGAAATGTCAAAAACTAACAATAAATAATTTAAAATTTAACCATTTAAAATATTGTCTCAAATAGTAGATACATACCAATTCATACATACAATTTTAATTTTAAACCTTGCTAGTAATAGTGCCAGTCCTCTTTAGAAACAAAACGCAACAACAGAACATATATCAATGTAGCAGTTTAGTTTCTTGCCAGTTATCTAAAGTAACTAAAGTATCTAATCTAATTGAACGGCAACTACAAAAAAACACCAGAAATAGTCGTTTTTGTGGAAATCAAATAAAAAAATAAATAACAGTCGTCTGTGATTATTATGACTAAGAATAATAAAATACCACAGATAAGAATTAACTTCACATAAAAGCAATTTAATATTAATTCCCACAGAGCTGTACTGTCACTTGGTTTAACCCATCTTCCGCAGTTAGACGCTACTCTACAATAAAAAAGTAAATAACAAATGACTTCTTAACCCGATAATGCTATGACTAATCGATGAGGTCCCCGATAGTATTAATAACGCATGTTATGTTGATATAGCCGCGACGTCGGGTCCTCTATAGGGTTCCCAATAAAGCCTATTTAGATTTATTGGCTTGCCCTAGAAGTAATGTTATGAACAAAACGTTTTACTTATTTTCAATGGAGAGTTCAATGACTTCGAAATTTGTAATTATTAGGAAGTTAAAACGGAAAATATATTTATGGAGGTACCTAACTCTAACCACATTTTATATTTAGTCTTTATTCTACAGTTCAACAAGTCATTTCAGTGGAAAATAACACAGATTATAATATAACAGAATAATAGCAAGTAATACGATTGTTGCTGTCATAAAATATTCATATAGTACTTGCTTAATTTGTACACTATATGTATCTATTAGCACAGTTCATTATTTTTGTATTATTCACATAAAAACTCTTTATCCAAACCATTATTTGGAACACAGCTTATAAAACACTGATCGGCCGAAAATATAGTCTACAAACTGGCTAAAGTCTAAAATATATTATATTATTGTAAAGTCTCATTACCATAGAAGAAATTTTATTGCAGACTAACTTCAACCGCGAATTCATCCATATTTTTGGTTTTTTACAATTTACCTTAACGTCAATTTTGAATAATGACCATTAATGACCGTTTCAGCCGTTATTGAAAAAGTAGCAAACCAATAAATAGACATACTTTACTAATTTATATTAATATAAATATATTGTCCCAAAAATTTTTTTTCCTAACTATGGGACATTTAAATAACACTTGCGTACTCGACTATACTCAACCCGTAAACGACTCACAGATATTCGTTTTTGGAGAAAAAAGTATCGGGTAAGGAGAATCCAGCTGTGCAATATTTATGACTTTATATCTTTCTGTTCCACTCACACATCTCACTAGTATATATCGACTTCTCATTTTTTGTCCCGCTGTTATCTACGATTGCGTTTCGCCCCAGAGTTTATATTTTCAATTTTTAGATGATTCAATTATACGTATATAGAATCTTTATACCTTATTTGGATATCGATTTCATTTGATACGTGGATAACGATGGTCACACAAGAATACGCATATTACCCCAGAGGTAGACGTAAAATGTTCTCTAAATAAGTACCTAACCCAAGCCTATTTCAGCTGCAACACAGCTTGCTTTTAAAGCTGTGTTTCGGTTATATGATATACAACAGGCAATGAAATTACAGGACAAGAGGCATCTTAGTCCTCTAGAATGGTAATGCATGAGCAGCATCACGGGTATCACGTGATAACGTGATATCTGTGATGCCGCTATCACACACTACTATGATGTAAACCCCAATTCTGTATATATATACGACCTCGGTGGTCTAGCGGTCTAGCACACCGCTTTACGACCGATGGTCGCGGGTTCGATTCCTCGCACGGCACATACATTTGTATCCATAAGTATGATTGTTTGTATCGGTCTGGGTGTTTTCTATGTATTATATGTATGTATTTACAAAAAAAAAAATCTATGTATATGTATCAGTTATCTAGTACCCCAAGCTCTAGCTAGCTTAACTTGGGTCTAGATGGCGCTGTGTGAATTGTCCTGAGATTATTATGTAAAAGTGCCAGGTTTTACACGTGCTTCTGCTGTTTTTTTTTAAATAAAAGATAGCTTGTTCTTAACACAATCCCTGGGGGGCAGGGGGTTGTTAGTAATGTGGACTAATAACCCCATTGCTAGTACTGTACCATGTCAGGTCGACTTTCACGTGGTTCCTCCTGGAAACCATTGTTACAAATTCCTGGTGGATTTACTACGATGGACTAGCTGACCTGACCTCATGCTGATCTTATCCTCCTCCACTGGTGCCCCGCCAGCGTAAACCGTTAGCGCAGGCGGGTCCACCATTCCATTATCATCCATAAGAAAAAAAACGTAATCCCTCGTCAAAATTCATTACAGTCGCTTGAGCAGTTTAGTCTTGTAAAGTTAACAGACAGATGGAGAGACCAACATACATATATAATAGAGCATTTAGATGGTATGGATTTTATAAAAAACGTTTACTACAGAAGTATCGCAACGTTAGTGTTGTGGTACATTTTTTGTAACTGTAATGGCAAACAAGCTAACGGCCCACCTGATGGTAAGTGGTAAGGTAGAGATAA